GAAAGCCTTTAATTTTGCTGCTGAATCCACAGAAAAAACCCCAAACATTCACTCTTTCTGAGTGACTATGCTAGATAGTCACTCAACAATGCATTCAGAAATTGAATGCTGGGCTACTTAGTGTGGGCAGCTACAGGTCCTGAACACCCAAAATTTCTGTGAGGTAAGTGCTGAAGACATGGCTTGCTAGTCTGTATTTCAAACCCCTAGTGTGCCAAGTAAAAGTTCCCATGTAGATGCAAATAAATGAAAAATTATAAAAGAAAAAAAAAAAGAAAAAGAAAGGGACAGTAATCTAGAACCTGTTTAGGTGGAATCAAAGGTGACACTTAAAGGCAATTGTATGACTTTCCATTCTTGTACCAAAACTTCTATTTTTTCAGTATTTCTTCTTCCTACTGTCATCCGTCTCTGTAGAACAAATTAACTTTCTCATATCTATATTTTGTAGTTTTATGAAGATTTTGATGGGAACCTCAGGGTTAAAACCATTACTATTGTAATGCTCCTTCACTACCTGGCAGCCCTGAAAGTATTTATGCAAAGTATCAGTGTTTCTGTAGTAGGGATTGTAAAACAATGAATCTATAGATCTCAGCAAGATTTCTACATAAAATAGTGGAATCACAGTAACACAGGGAATAACAAAGTCAAGTCACATAAAAGATTAGATGAGGTTAGTGATGAAAGGCGAAGATACTTGGCCAAGGTCATGGTTTTGTTTGCCTGAGCGTGGGGCTTGTCTGTGCTTATACTGTAAAAGGACATTATGATTTGTTTAGAACTTTCTTCATGATTGCCTTTGAGCTGCAGTTTAATGTACTTGCTCTGATGGAGGAAATTATGCTCCTTGTACTTCCATCAAAATAAATTTTCAAATAGAGAAGTGCAAAAATGTAGATTATTTTTTCCCCCAAGAAAAATACTTGCAAACTAAACCACGTTATAAGCATTATAGACAGGTACAAACATACAAAACTCTTTCACTTGTGGATTCAAACAGGAATTCCAGATCCCACTGATGTAATGAAGACTATATAAAGAAATAAATATATATATGAAAAAATAATGTTTGTAGTGTTGCATGTAGGGAATAATCATTGCCCTATTAAATCCTTGATGCTGCATAATAAACTTCTGTTGGTTGTGCAGTAACATTTCAACATCTTTTTCAAGAACTTCCATTAAAGGGAGAAGCTGGAATGTTCATATGATTTTGTAAGGTGTGCAGAAGATCGAAAATAAACATGGCTTTTCATTGTATAAGGCAGCTGTTCACGATAAGGCCATGATTTCTAGTGTAGCATCCTGGTGTCAGTCATTGGCAAATGGATGGATATTTCTGTGCTCATAAGAGAAAAAGAAATGCTTACAATATTTGTCCAATTATTAGTGGAGAAGAACTAGCAGCAATTATTACCAGCTAATACTCTCTCTGGGAGTCTCAGTAAAAAAGCCAGAATCAGATACGTATGGATTTAACTCTATTTTTGTTTGGCTGAATGGAGCCTCCTCGTCAAATTAAAGATTTGTTGTCATATCGCTGTGGGGTAACTTCCACTGCTGGTACAGCGGCTTGCTTGCTCTCTCACGTTTTTAGTCTGTCTGTCTGTATACTTCACTAACAACAGAATGTTTGTCAGACCTGGATTTAAGGTGTTTTGAACTAGATTAAAGCATCGATGTAGTCAGATGAGTCAGGGAGCTGCTGAGTCCTGTCTGTCTTTTTGCTTCCTGGCTTTTCGTCTCACAACTTGCACTGTGAGTATGATTTCTAACCTGAAGTTTATAGATACCTATTTTTCTACAGTTAAAGTGTGTTTCTAAACAAAGCAGAAGCAACAAAGTGGTATAGATTCTTGAAACAGTTGAGACATAGAGATGTTATGGAGACCTGAAGATTGTATTTCCAGTCCAGCTCCGAGATGTGCAAAGATGAAGTGCTGGTAAATCTCGTAGTCCTGTGGAGCAGTCGGACCTGTAACAAACTGGTTTTGGTGGGCCTTCCTGCTCTTTCCGGCTCTAGCACATCCCTGTATGCATAGGAAGTAAGAAAACCTTCAGAAGACCTCTTCAGATGATTTAATTAAGAATTAGGAAACCTATTGAGGTAGATTTATGTGATAGATTTAAACCAAGAGTCAAACCTAGAAAGATGCAAAAGGAGTCACTAAGGAGACCAGTAAACTCTGATACTGGTTTGAAAAAGGAGATTTCCTAATTGCTGAGAAAAATCAACTCCTGATGGTGCAAAATTCTGTAGACTTGATAATTTGTCAGAAAGAAAATGTTCCAATAAATAAGATTAAATAAAATTTCTAAATGTGTGTATAGAATAATAAATTTTGTAACATTCACTTCCGTGTAAGACTGGAGATTGAAGATTTCATAAAGAAAAGCTTTGACTAACGGAGATCGTGATTAGAGTAGAAAACCTGAGAGAGAAATTTGCTGCTGTTTCCAATATACGAAATGTGTTCCAAAATGAAGTGGAACAGTAAATTTGCTTAAAGGGGGTTCTGTGACACAGTGATAAATCTTTACCTGAAATAAACATCCACCTCCTTGATGATAGTGGGTATTTTTGCAGTGAAGGGAAGTCAGCTGTGGCAAAGGACTCTGTTGCTAATTACAGTATCAGCCCACATACCTCTGACAGCCGTGTAAATATGGTAAAAAGACTGGGGCTTATGGCTGAAGACGATCAAACATCAAATCACTGCAGTTTCTATAGTAAAGAGAATGAGTAGGTGAAAGCAGAAAAATTATGTATACAAAGGAAAATAGTGTGTCGAAATGAGAGCCTGAAGAGACAGTATCGGGGTTTTTTTTAGACTTAAAGTTGGTGTTTTTAGAGGTCTCAAGTATGCTACATGGGCTGCAGCTGACAGTGCTGCAGCATTCAGCACTGAAATTATTGTTACTTTTGACTACTTTTCTAGCAAGATTTTAAAAAAATAAAACATAAAATAATAGAATTTTTTAACTTAATATGAATACTGCATGAGGTCCACACTTGTTTTGACAAGAATCTTGCACTTCCTGTCTAGACATATTCTGCACCAAAATTGTTCACATTAGCAACAATGATTGGACAGATATTCATAAATCAATGGCTTCTCCAAATGCGTGGAAGTGGCTATTTTGCTTTTTCCATTGCTTACATACATTTGGTAGTTAAAACATACACTATTACAAATTCAGCAAGAAGGGTGCACAGCAAGCTCGCTAGCCTGGACTTCAAGAGAGCAGAATTTGGCCTCTTCAGGGAACTACTTGGCAGAGTACCGTGGGATGCAGCCCTGGAGGGAAGAGGGGCCCAGGATATCTGGTCAGTATTAAAGGATCACCTCCCTCAAGCTCAGGAGCGATGCATTCCAATGAAGAGGGAGTCAGGCAAAAACACCAGGAGGCCTGCGTGAATGAACAAGGAGCTCCTGGACAATCTCAGATACAAAAAGGAACCCTACAGAGAGTGACAGCAAGGACAGATAGCCTGGGAGGAATACAGAGAAAGTGCCTAGGTGGCCAGGGATCTAGTCCAGAAAGCCAAGGCCCTGATAGAATTAAACCTGGGCAGGGACACCAAGGGCAAGAAGAAAAACTTCTGTAGGTACATCAGTGACAAGGAAGACTAGAGATAATGTGGGCCCTCTCTGGAAGGAAATGGGAGACATAGCTACCCAGGATATGGAGAAGGCTGAGGTATTCAACGACTTTTTTGCCTCAGTCTTCACCAGTAAGTGCTCCAGCCACACCGCCCGAGTCACAGAAGGCAAAGATGAAGACCTCCCTATCTTTGGCAGCCCCAGTTGTTTTCAGATTAGGGTGGGTGCCCCTGCCAAAGTTACGTACTGCTTTCTAGACTTTGTCTTGAAGTCTGTGACTGATGTTTGTTGAAAGATTTTCTTTTACCTATTGGATCCCTTTGCTGGAGGATTACTACTGTGTGTTCATTTTCCAGCAATGCAGAGACTGTGTAAGTTATTCTTGGACATAAAATAAAAATACTGCTTTTTGTAAATGAAGCCTTAAGATTCATAAGGTGACTTTTAAGGTCACCTGTTTTCTTTCTTTCTTTACTTTTTGCTAATAGTAGTATCTCAAGTAGTGGAAAAAATTAAGAGAAGCTGGAGGTGTGCATACTTTTTGTGTTTTGTTTGTGTCTAGTAGTGTAATTGGAGTCAGCATCATCAATGCAACGAGTACCATGCAGTTGTTTAGGAAAATGGAATAGCTTGTCAGACAAAGTTGCTATCTAATTCGTACAACTCTTTTTTTTTTTTGTACCACTGGCACACAGAGGGGGGAAAAGGATGACAAACCAAGTGTCTTAACTGAAATAAGAGATTAACAACTAGAAGTTTGTCTGCCTAATTTAGCTTCTCTAAAAACTCGAAGCCTTGTGGTGGTAATTATCGTGCAGACCCAGTCTCATAAATAAGATTTTTTTTCCATTTTCTGCATTGTAACATCTCATAAAACATAAGATTTTCTCTGGTCATGTCTCTTACTTTCTGCATAGTCTGGTCACCTAAAGTTAAACATATAAATATTTTTTTAGAACTGTGACATGATTCTTTGCTGAGATAATTTGACCCGTATGCACAAGATAATGCACATAATATATTTAGTAGGAAAAAAGTTCTCTTTCTTTTTTTTCCTTTCTTGCTTGGTTCTGTTTTTCCCTATGAGGATATAATTTCGGTTATTTGGGGTTTGCTATTAACAAATTTCTGATTGATTTTTTTGTGAGAAAAGTCATACAGAAAAACCCTGATTTGTCTTCTCACAGAGAAAAGCCAATTTGCCCATGTAGATATTTAATCTTAAATGCTCAAAAATTTACCTTCCCTCTCTCTCCCACCCTTTCCACCCACAAGTTTGGCAATTAAGTTCTAGGAGTGCATTAATAAATATTATCTCCAAAAGATTTCCATCCTATCACTCTCAAGTGTGTCCTCTGCCCCAGTTAAATTCTCTTCTTTTCTTTATTGCAGGTGGGGAACCCAAGGGGATTTCACCACTACTCACCCTCGGCCTGTTGTCAAAGTAAAACTCTTTACAGAAAGCACCGGGGTGCTGGCACTTGAAGATAAAGAACTGGGAAGAGTGAGTATTATGTGTAGAAACAATAAATATGTGAGAAATTACACTTAGAAATGCAAGTATTGATAAAACCATAAAGCCATAAAACAGTATGAGGTGTTCAGTACAACATCTGCTGTGCTGCAGCTGTACCAAACAAAGCTTTTTCTTTTAAGGATGACTTTTCTCAGTGTTCAAAACATGATGTGTTGACTTGTCTTACCTTTCAGAAACTTGCGTGAGGGATCCATGAGGGTTCTCTTTGTTATGTTTAAAACTTCTTTTAATTCCTAGGTGACCTAGCAATGCTTGTAGCTATTCAAATTAGAAGTGAAGAGGAAAGAGAGAAGACTTGCCATGTAATAAATATGGCAAATGAGTGGGGAAAGGGAAGGAAGGACTTAAGTGGTGGAAGGATGGGGGGGAAAGGAGTGATGGAGATAATATGTCAGACTGAAATAAGAGTTCTCAATCTCATATCCCCTATCTTGATGGGGTCATTTATCCTCCTTAGGCCAAAATCAGGGGCTAGAGAGTGCAATGTATCATGAACAAGGCAGAGAGAGTCTGCAAATCTCATCTCCTGTTGAAATTCTCCCCCCTGCCATGTACCATGTGCAGGAGAGCTGACATTTTAACACTCAGTTCTGCATTCGGAGTCGTGGCTGTTTCTCATTCAAGCAAGGACAGCTTGTTGGGAAGAGCAGAGCTCTTCGCTACTTCACGTCACCAAGTGCAGGTGGCTCCACAAAGACAGATTCTCTCACACACTGGGTCACTTGTTAAGGTCAGGACTGCGTCCCCCGTATTACTTCTTGCATCCTTCCACATCCTTCTAGGAAGCCTCCAAGGTCACTTGGTCAAGAATGGCTGGGGTGAAGGTGGGATCTGCATGGGGAAGGTTTCCAGCAGGGGTAATACACTGGCAGAAGCCAGGCAGGCATCGTGGCAGATACAGAGGAGCCACAGGGGTGCAGCTGAGCAGACCGGAGTCGGCAATATCTGGATTCAAAACAATGAAAAGAGACACTGAAAGAGTGGACTTACAGGAACTCCATAGTGCTATTAAACGCAGAGAAGTTTCTTCTCTGTCCCTGCTTGCTGAGTCCTTTCAAAGAAGCAAAAGGAAAGTCAATGCAAAGGTGCAGGGCGGTGAAGAAGGGACTATGTGGCCTTTGTGAACAGTAGCCAGCATAGTCACTGCCAAGGAGTCAGAGAAGAAAAGAAACATCAACAGAATAAAGGGGCTAAGAATTATAAGTATTAACAGGATCCTCTTGCTCTGCAACCTTAAATAGCCAAAGTTCAGGTATAAGCCTGATCTGCTTGCTTACACTGCAGCTTGTCTGAGTTTCTAGGACAGGAAGTTAAAAAGATTTTAAATTATTCTAAAGAATGAAACCATTTCAAATGTAAAATATGATATAGCTTTTACCTTAATTGTATCCTGTGGCCCCAGATGGTTTGTTTTGTGTTTTTCCCCTGCCTCCTCTTCCTTCCCACTCTGGGCTGCCTTCTGACACATCTGTATTTGTCACCTGACCAAACCAGTTTAGAGAAGGTAATAACTTTCCTTTCTTGGTTGGAAGTAGTGAAAGGAAAGAAAGAAAATAAAAATGGGTAGTTGTGAGGGGCTAGGTCTGAGCTTACTGCCCTGTTGTTGGATGGATGCTTTTGTTCCCAAAGACAAAACAAGATACATAAACGGTGAGAAAGAAAAATCTTGTTTCTGCTGCTGATACATATTCTCCTGTTGTTCTTTGGCAGAGAGTCTGCATGCTCTTACCGGATGCTCTGAAGTTTCGCAGTTTGTACCAAAATTAGCCCATTAAAATCATCTCTTTTTGCTGGGTTTTTCCTCCTTGTCACAAAGGGCAAAGCCATCACATTAAGGCTTATGTTGAGATTGGACATAGCAAACAGAAGTACCTGAGAGGTGCTTGGATACTGATATTACATTTTATAATCCCTTCCTGATTTACCAAAAATGTCCAGCCCCTCTCCTTGACCCAAAAATACCTTCAGTAAAAGATAAACCTCCATCAATGGCCTTATGTACAACACATATTCCTTAGCAGAGGAAAAGAGAATGAAAAAGGATGCTGTGCATCAACCTGTTTGGGCATCTGGTCTGTCCTGCCCCTCTCAGGTGTGGCAATACCCAGGGCTGCTGACAGACACCTTCCAGTTGTTGGTGGTAGACACTCAACATGGGAGAAGCGAGAATCTACCAACTTACCACTGTGGTTTAACCAGAGTATTTGAGAGGGGTGGTTGCTGGCTTCAGTGGATTGGGAGAATATTTGTCAGAATTTTTACAAAATAATTTTAAGGTACTGTTTACGCTTATGGTATATATTTTAGCTTTCAAAGGCTTGTTTTGTTGTCAATGTCTTTGTTTTCAGGTTTGAGAGATTTAAATTCAGGTGGTCTTTGAAAAGATGCAGGATCCCACTGGATAGGTTTAATTCTAATGAAGTTTGGCAACTTTATGCCTGGTCAGTTATACTTCAGTGACTTGCAGAAGCGCAGCTGATTCAGCTAGGTGTGTTATGCTCTGAAAAGGACTGAAGATACTGCTGCTGGTATATTTTCTGTACTTAAAAATTCAACTCAAACCTGCCTCTTCTGAGGTAGGCTTGCTGTGGACATTAATTCTCATCTGTCAAGTACTTTCTTCAAAGTACGTGTCTTGACCTGGTACCACTTTTCTATGTTACTGAAGTATGCATTTCCCATACCCTGCGGTTATTGTGAAGGTTTTGTTCTGTTTAATCTATAATTAGAAATAGAAGGTGGCGTCAAACTACCTGATTTGAATTTTGAATTTCCATCGCATACCAAAGGGTTTCTTCTGCCACCAAGTGATTGACTTTTAGTGATAAAAGGTGTGAAATGTGGAGCCAGCAAAGATTTCCCCAGAGCTGCACAGGAAACGGCATTTCCATTGACCCCATCAGTGCCTGGCAGTCTCTCGCACTTGTGAACTTAAGATGGGTCTCTCACACTTACAAACTTAAGATGTAGGTCCTGATCTCAGTATGGTGGGCACTACAGCTCCTCGGTTTCAGGAGGAGACACTGCTGATTTCCAGAAGTGTTGGAGCAGAAGAGATGCAGGCTCGTGCTTTCAGTAGAGAGGGCAGACCGTACTTACAGCTTTATATACTCTCTGTTGGGAAGCAGAGTCTGGGGGCTGCTCAGCCTCTGCTGCAGAGGTCACCAGGTGAGCACCAAGCAACAGAAGGTTTGTTGTCTGTACTCTGTACTTAACACCTTCTCCCTTCAAGGCATTTAAGATGTACTTAACCCACAGGAAGCTGTAGTTACTATGTTGCTTATCTGACATTGCTCTCTTCGCCCAAAAAATCCAAAATGAATCCAGTCGTGAATGCCAAGAGATTTTGCTTGTTGGAGGATATTCTTCTGGCTCCCTGCTGACCGCTTTAAGTGTCATCAGACAAAAAACAAATCTTAACTTTTATTCTCTGTTCTACACAAACTGGTGGACAGTTGGACAAACTCAGTTTTCCACTGAAATAAAAAAAATGGAGTTGCGTGCTGCATAGGAGGGGAAAGGATGTTATTTGGGTTTGGATTCTGCAGAATGTGAGCTTCTGGAGTCACAGTCTGTGTCTGTGGTTGTGCAGACCTCTGCATATAGTGTATCTAACGTCTAGAAAGTGAGACAAGCTGCAGCTTTGAAGCTAAGTTTCTTCTAATGAGGAAGAGTTAAGAACTTACTTTATTCAGATATCTTTGAAATGTGTGGCATGCTTTTAATGTGACTGACACTAATCTGGCCACTTCAGTAAATTTTGTATGTGCATATAGGAGGCAGAATTGATGTTTGCATTTGTATGTGTAATGCCTGAGGAAGCGTGAAGAAGCCTTCTGAGTTTGGAGTAAATACTTCTGAAAAATAAGCCTGGTGGTATCTGAAACTCAGGGATCTGACACCACTTTTCCTTGTTCAATACTTTGTGTATGAAGATGTTCAAACCTAGTAATTCAAAGTGACAACCATTGTGCTTTTAGCTTAGCACACATGTGAATACAATGTGAGAACAGCAGGTGGTGTTTGATTGCCGATACTTTTTGAATATAAGAATATTTCAGCCTTGTCTCTCTGACTATTCAATTAAAAGGGAACTATTGTCTCACAACCTGCTTGTCACAGTCAGCTGCAGCCAGTTATGAGTTTTTTCTTTGGCAGTGTTACTCTAGGTTTGGTTTAAAGGCATTATAAAATAGCTGTACCGGCTAGGTACCCATACTGACATGATTACCTAGTTTCTGAATGCTGACTGCACTGGGCACGTTGTTTTATCTTCTATGCTACATTCAAAGAGCCGCTAAGCGGAGATAATTTCATACTGTGAATATGTTAATTTAAAGCCTGACTTCCTGAGGAATGTGTTTCTCCATCACATTTTGAAATGACTGAAGTTTCGCAGGTCTGAGGTTTTGTGTCTTTTTTTTTAAGTTTGGAAAATTATAAGAGATTGCTTCCACTCCGCCTTTTTCTCCTGCTCCCCAAGCAGTCTGCCTGTCAGCAGCCTGCTATGTCTCACTGAGTGTTAGTGTTTCCACAATAACAGGGGTTTTCTCACTAGCTTCTCTGAGAACGCCTCATCAGAAATTCTTGAGATATTTTTCGTTGAGGCATGCTCTCTCTTAGATTTGGGGGAGAGGCTCTTTGGGAAGGACTTAAAGACAACTTTTATCAGTTGCTAAGATCTATTAAGGTAAGTGGTCAGCTGGCAGCATCAGCAGAGGTCCATTGATTGCGTAAATTGCAAAGTCTTCCCGGTTCTTTGTCAACACCAGTATTTTAGACAGTGCTCTCACCATGCACCTGTTCACTTTTTCTGTTTGGTTTTTCTTTCTTTTTAACCACCTATTACCCAAAGCCTTGTCTCAGTGTTTCAGCTGTAGTATAATCATAGCTGAAATGCAAGAGTTCACTCAATAGGTGAGATAATGGAGCTTGTGTAAAATACACATAAACTCCCTTGGTGACCA